TATTTTCACAAAGCACGACATGTCACGTTAAATCGTTTGTAACATATATGAATTGATCAACAAGGGGGTTCCAATTTACAAGCCTGAATTATTCTAGGCACGCTTTCAATCAAATTCATCAAACCATTTTGAGGAATTTTATTCCATTCCTCTTTTAAAGCAGCCTCGAGTTCAAGTTCTTTAAGATTTCTTAGATTGTTAGGACGACTTCTAATACGACATACTGTTGTGGTGGAAAAGCCAAGTATTTTAGAAATACTTCTATATGAGGCTCCATTTTTATAAAGGCAACTATTTGCCCATGTTAAGCTTCAGTTAAATTAGGCTTTTTTTTTTGAAATTTAAAATTTTGAAAACTTTAAAAAAAAAAGATCTAAAAAATATGCAATAAAAATTATTTTTTCAGAATCACCAAACTTGGGTTTTCATATACAAAATTTCCAAACCATATTACTATGTAGGTTCTTGGACAATTTCTAAAACAAAATTTCATTTTTTATACATTTATTCGAGTTCTACGGAACCTAGATGATGGAATTTGCATAGATATTCACAAGAACCTAAACCGCAAATGATATAAATTTCGTATATTTTTGCACAATTAACAAAAGCAAGTGTTCCAAAACTTTTGTCCAGGTACTGTATGTAGATATAATGCATATTTATTTATTTTTCTAACATTAAACAATTTTAAAACTGTAATAATAGACACATTTTTAACATTGGTTATTATAATTATTGAATTGTGCCATAAGATCTGATACATTAGAACTACCAGGAATTTGGTTAGAAAATTGTTGTAAATTTGGCGCAACAACCACCATGTTTTACTGTTGGTCTAAGATTTTCAATATTGAATCTGGTTCTCCAGACATATCCCAGACCATCATTCTTAAATATTGTAAACCTACTCTCATCACTCCAAATGATATTCTTCCACTTTCTTACACTCCAATCTTTTTTTCCTAGGCACCAATTCAAACGTTTTATTCTTTGTTGCTCATTAATCAAAGGTTTAGAAGCAGGAACACGAGCAAATATGTTGATTTCGTGTAAACTTCTTCTAATAGTTTTTGTAGAAACATGTAAACTAGTTTCCTGATTAAAATGGTTCTTTATCTGTTCAGCTGATTTACAGTTGTTATGTTTAACAATATTTTTTAATGCTTGTCGATGGTCAGTATTTAAAATTTTTGGACGTCCACTTCTTGGTAAATCTGCCATACTATCTCTTTCTTGAAAATTCTTCACGGTACGACATACTGTTGTGGTGGGAAAGCCAAGTATTTTAGAAATACTTCTATATGAGGCTCCATTTTTATAAAGGCAACTATTTGCCCATGTTAAGCTTCAGTTAAATTAGGCTTTTTTTTTTGAAATTTAAAATTTTGAAAACTTTAAAAAAAAAAGATCTAAAAAATATGCAATAAAAATTATTTTTTCAGAATCACCAAACTTGGGTTTTCATATACAAAATTTCCAAACCATATTACTATGTAGGTTCTTGGACAATTTCTAAAACAAAATTTCATTTTTTATACATTTATTCGAGTTCTACGGAACCTAGATGATGGAATTTGCATAGATATTCACAAGAACCTAAACCGCAAATGATATAAATTTCGTATATTTTTGCACAATTAACAAAAGCAAGTGTTCCAAAACTTTTGTCCAGGTACTGTATGTAGATATAATGCATATTTATTTATTTTTCTAACATTAAACAATTTTAAAACTGTAATAATAGACACATTTTTAACATTGGTTATTATAATTATTGAATTGTGCCATAAGATCCGATACATTAGAACTACCAGGAATTTGGTTAGAAAATTGTTGTAAATTTGGCGCAACATTTTATAAAGGCAACTATTTGCCCATGTTAAGCTTCAGTTAAATTAGGCTTTTTTTTTTGAAATTTAAAATTTTGAAAACTTTAAAAAAAAAAGATCTAAAAAATATGCAATAAAAATTATTTTTTCAGAATCACCAAACTTGGGTTTTCATATACAAAATTTCCAAACCATATTACTATGTAGGTTCTTGGACAATTTCTAAAACAAAATTTCATTTTTTATACATTTATTCGAGTTCTACGGAACCTAGATGATGGAATTTGCATAGATATTCACAAGAACCTAAACCGCAAATGATATAAATTTCGTATATTTTTGCACAATTAACAAAAGCAAGTGTTCCAAAACTTTTGTCCAGGTACTGTATGTAGATATAATGCATATTTATTTATTTTTCTAACATTAAACAATTTTAAAACTGTAATAATAGACACATTTTTAACATTGGTTATTATAATTATTGAATTGTGCCATAAGATCCGATACATTAGAACTACCAGGAATTTGGTTAGAAAATTGTTGTAAATTTGGCGCAACATGTTGGGATTGATGTTGAGATAAAGGAAGAGTATTAGGAAGCATAACATTTGGATTGACAACATGAGGCTGATTGATCATTGAAGTGTTATAAGTAGTAGACTGTTGTGTAAGATTATGTGGGGGTACCTGCATATATGGCTGTTGATTTGAAGTATTTGCAGGTGCTAAATGTCTAAGTATTTGTTGTATATCAAAATTTTGCTGTTGTACAGGTATGAACCCTGGCTGATGTTGTAAATTAGTATTAGGTGGAACTAATTGCATAGATTGTATTCCTTGAATAGAATGAACATTTTGGGGACCTGTTGGTTGTTTTTGTTGCAAACTACCAAGCAAATTGGCAAGTGCAGCAAAATTAACGTTATTTAATGAGTTTGGATTAATATTGGCTGCATTTGATTGTTCTGTAACTGGGGCAGCTTGTTGTGTTTGGGATAGAATTTGTTGCCCACCCATTAATATATTATCTAGTGGTTGAATATTAACAGAAACTGATGAAACACGAGCTCGCAACAATAATCCGACCGCCTCTTCTATTTTAATGCTGTTATATTCTAATTATTTTCAACTTAGGTTAATAAAAAGGAATAATACATAATATCAAAGTGTTAGAAGAAGGAAAAAACCAACCATCATATTTTACATTGTCTTGAAAACGTTGATGTTCAAAAATTTGCATATTAACCTTGCCGTTTATTGCAAGAACTCTTTCCAAAAAGATGACAGCATGTACTCCTTCTACAATCATTTGACGAACAACTGCTTGAATTTGAAGTTTTCTAGATAAATGAAGTGTATGAACAGAAATATTTGCTTCTCTGAATGCATTTTCCACTTGCCACAAATAATTACTAAACAGTAATAATAATAAGCAATTATTTTATAAATCATAATAAAAATAAAAACAAAAAATGGCATTTAAAACTTATAGGGTACTGACCGATCAACTTCTTCAAGAGCAATTATTTGACATTCTGGTACTTCGTTACCTTGCCTTCTAGGTAAAGGAAATTCTTCATTAGTCTTATCTTGTGATTGTGACCTACTATCACGACTTTGTTTTTGTTCTAAATAATCTCTATTAGGAACTTTGTATGGTTTAGATCTGTGGGAAGCTCTTTGATCACGGTATTCTTCTCTGTATGAATCATGACGATATTCTCTTTCATTAGATTCCTTATTATAATTCCAATCATTATGGTTTTGAGTATGATGTCCCCTGGCAGGTGAATATTCTCGTTTACTATTATGCCAATTATTTTTATTACCACCTCTTTGGTTCCAATGTTTTTCATGACGATGCCCAGAATTAGTTTTAAACCCAGTATCTTGATTTGGTGAAAGGCGATGCGGCTTACCGTGAGAAACTTCTAATCCTGTTATAAAATTAATTTAAGGTTGATGTTATTGTGAATGAAAACAAGTGTTTTTTAAAAAACTTTATTTAATGGTTTGTTTTATTATTTTTGTAAAAAAATCAATCAATTTTAAATTAATAACTTGCCTAATCTTAGCCCATGTAAAACTCTTCCGTTTTCTTTCTCAATTGCTTTTTTAACATTCTCAGGGTTATCATATTGGATAAAACCAAAACTATTTTTAATAGATATTTGAAAAACCTCTCCATAAGGAGAAAAGATATCATAAAGCTCTTTTTTGGAAATTGATTGAGTGGATAAATTTCCTAAAAACAAACGAGACCCTGAAGGCAGAGCTTGGAATTCAGCATCTGTTAATTTACGCAAACTAAATGGGGCCTTATTATTATCATTATCTGATTTTTCATTTCCTATTCGGAAATTTGGAGAATGGCGACTACGAAACTTATAGCGATATTCTCTATCAAAATTTTGATCAATATTACCAGATAAATTGTCTACATTATTATTAATTTGGGAATTCCAAATAGAATTAGTTATATTGGAATTTGGTTGTTGTGAAATTTGACCATATTCAAAATTCATAAATTCTTCCTTATTATTATTATCATTATCATCATCATCATTATTATTATCATCAACATTGTCAACGTTATTGTTATCGTAAAGGTCAGATGTTTTTGCAGAAATATTCGTATTGTTGATGATTTGAACACTGGAAGAATCAAGTTCCATGTTATTAATTTCATTTTGAACAATGTTATCTTTTTTAGGTGGTGGTAATTCACTATTATTAATTTCTTTTGGTTCGTCAATTATTTCCTGACCGGTATTTATATTTGGTATATGAATAGTTTGCTCATATGAAGATAATGATGAGTCAGGTAATGATTTTGTGGATGTATTTTCATATTCTGAAATTGGTAAAGTCATCCTTTCTTTTTGATTTTGGGCCGATTCTAAAGCTTCACTATAATGATTTAAATTTTGCGATTTATTTATTCCTTGGTCATTTACCTCTTCATTGCTAGTTGATGGATTTTTTTCAGTTAGTAGTTCCTGTTGGGAAGGAATATCGGAACTGGGAACACTGTTAATAGATATTGTCTTCATCATAAACTATCTGAAATGAAGTTTAATATTTTAAAAAATTTTTTTTGGGAAAAAACAAAAATGGGGCTTTCGATAGCGTGGCGTAATTTATTCAATATAATCTAAAAAAATTTTTATTTTATTCCTTTTATTAGAATCAAAAAAATTTCTCCCAAATAAATAAATATATATTATATATAAATCAACAACAAAAAAAATTTGTTAAAAAATTATTGATTTGATTGATTCAAATACTTATATAATGAAAACCTCTTAATAAACAATTTTTTTTACGACTAATTTAATCACCCATACTAGCTTCAGTTTGAATTTGTCTGTGAATATGGCATAGATAATCAACATATGACATAGCACCATTATTTTCATCTTCTACAAGTAAACTATTAAATTCCATTTCCGCGAGATCCAATTGCATTCTTGCAATCGTAAGCCTCAAAAATTTGGATCTTTGTGATTGAAGATACGATATAATTGAACGGACTTGTGTTGAAGTTTTATTTTCAAATTCAGGTAGAAAAGTCTATCAAATATGTGTGTGTGATGAATGTTAATATTTATAATTGAATATTTAGGAGACGATATATATATAATATGAAAGGTTAATTACAAGTTTGGGGTCAACGTTTTCAATTGAACTGACTCCAAACACATCGAGCAAAAATTCTGAGGAAATTTGTCGTCCTATCCAAAGTATCATTGTTTGACCGTTTTCTGTTCAAAGTTTAAAAAAATAGATTATTTTATTTATTTATTAATTTTTATTTTATAAGATAAAAACAACAAACCTAACAAATATGCTCCATCTTGATCAACTCTTGAAAAAGAAGTTCTTAATAGTGGTGGTAATTTAATTCTACCATATTGATCTGGGTATCCAATCTAATTAAATTCCAAAGGTTATTATGCTATTCTATACAGGTTATATAGTTATGAAAAAGGTGATTTACAATTCTATCTATCAATAAATTAAATACCTCTTCCGAAAGATTATGAACAGCAAAAAGTCGTGGATAAAAAAGGACAATACTTTCGGATACACTGGCACTTTTTATAAATCGCATAAAATATACTCGCACATCACTTGCAATATTGGCACCTATTATTTTAATAAATTATTTGTTAAATTGCTTAATAAATATGTGCGCATCTATGTATATTTACCTCCACGGAGAGCTTTAGACTTTAACATTGCCAAGGAATATAATGGAAATAGTTTGAAGGCTTCTGGTAAAATCAATTGCCCGGGTGCATTTGCATTTGCACAATGTTTTCGATATGATAGTAATATCTTTACACATTTGTCGGTTATTTGATCACGAATCTCACGTAATGGTTTTGTTATTGAATTTGATACAGCTATATATAAATATATAATATATATTTTAAATTAAATAATATATACACACACATTTATTCATTTAAGACATTTTTAATTTCTGATAAATAATAAGTTAATCTTACCCTCTTTGGCCAAAAAGTTTACAGTAGTATCCATTTCTGCATTTCTGAAAACATTGCCCAACAAAGTCGTAACTGTAATACTTAAATTGTGTGCTCTTACCCTTCGTTGACCGGTGGATGTTGTATATAAAAGCGCACATTGAATGTATGCATCAGTTTTTTCATCGAGTTTCCCATCATGTTTAAGTGCAACGCCAAATGCTTTATCACTATCAATCCCAGCAAGTTCAACATCTGTAGTATTTCGCATGTTAAAGTTTCCAAAATGATCCGAAACCTTAAGACCTAAATTAAATTCAGATAAGTATTAATGCTGGCATTTTATCACAGCAATAATAAAAGAAAATTTCTATTATTATTGTAATATCAAAATTCTAACCATTAGAACACCTAATTCTCATAAGCGCATTATATCCAGATTCTCTTAAAACATTATGTTTTAATTCACGCGAAAATTTCTCGCCGTCAAGTTGGGCATCGAAATTAGGGTAAAGGTAAATTTCACCACCGGTCAAACAAGATAACAGTCCTATATAATTTTAATATTTTTAAATTCAAAATAATAAATAAATACACACACACACACATATATTAATCATAAAGAGAAGTACATAATTAAAATACATATTTATACAACTTACCAATAGTTGCAACGTCAATATAAGTGTTTGGAAATAAAAATAAATCAATACAAATACCAGAGTCTACACAATTTATAGCTTGTGTTTTATAATATGTATCTTGAGGAGCATATAAAGTTTTTTCCTTATCGGTATTATATAATTTTGTATCTTCACGATGCTTAATTGCTCCAGGACCAAATGTTGGAATAGAAGTTTGAAAAATTATTAGTTTTCCACCAGTTTCATTCTATATATATATTAGAATAAAAATATAATGTATATTATTAAAATCATATATATTATGAAATTTATATCTTGCTGAATAGGTGAAAGGAATATTAAATCTTGAAATCAATACCAATGCCATATGTGCTGCTTTTACAACTGCTCCTAAAACAGGTTCAATGGTCTTGTTTTCAATAAACATTGACGGTAATGATTCTAAAAGGAATTCTATCACAGTTCTTAATAAACAATTTATAAAATTAATAAATATAATAAATATGGATATAAATATAAATATATTAATTTCTTAATTTAGTAAAAAAAATTTTTTCTTTGCTTACCTTGATTCATATGGATCAACCAATAGCCCAGAATTTATTGGCACAAAAATATCATTGATATCCGAGACAACCAACATTTGAGCTTGTTCAAGTTGTGACTATTTTTGTTTTATTATATTATTATGAAAATAATAATGATGATGATGATGATGCGTGAGCTTATGGAATAAACTTAATTGCTCCAATATACATGTAAATACCAATTGAATACCTGTAAATTATAAAAATGTATATCTTTGCCAAAAGTCATAATACCTATTCTACCTCCGGCTGGAATACTATTCGGCGTATTATATAAAATATCTCGAATTGTTTCTACACATTTTTTTAACATTCCGCTTTTAATTGAATTCCAAGAAACATCGATAGCAAATATACACGATAGAGGAGTTGGTGTTCGTGCCCAGTATTCCTAATTTTTTAAAACAAGGATTTCCAATAAAATAAAATATTAAATAATTAAATTACTTTAATATCAAAGTGTAAATCACATTCAAAAATAAATATTCTTTACCTTCGGTGCAGAAAATTCTACTGTCCCATGCTTTAATTCAGGTCTTTGTTCTAAATCAGCTCTTCTTCCGCTCATATCTAAATTACAAAAATACTCTACTGGAACTTTTATAATTTTAAAAAATATATGGTTTATTAAAAAAATTCCTATCGAAAAATAAATTTATTGAAAAAAATTTTATAAATAGAAACATATCATTCAACCTTCATTTGCAAATTGACACATATTACATATAAATTTTTGACCGCCTTCAACAAAAATTACAAAAGGATTTATATATGCCTTGCATCTTCTACAACGAACTGGTCCATTCTCTTGAAAATCAACTACTTCAATTGGGGCCTTAAAAAAATGTCGATATTTATAATAATTTTTTTAGAAAAAAAATAATTATAAATATATAAAATAACCACTAACCTCATCATTTCTTAATTTAGCCAAAGGTTGTAAAATAATAGCAAGAGGTAAATGAGAAGTTTGAAGAAGATCTTCATTGTTTGGTATAGAATATAATGTTAATCTCATAAATCTTGGATTAGAATTTCCTAATTTAAGATGTTTTTTTCAATAGGTTAATAAATATTATAAATAAATAAATTAATATAATTCAAGTATTTAAATACCCTCATCTATTGATTTGAAGTCAGTACTTGCAAGTGGTGTTGCTAATTTTGAGCAAGTCATATATGGTTGTTCTTCAAAAAGATTTTGATCTTGTTCTTGAACTACAACAGGCGAGGGAATTTGATTTGGATCTATACGAGCTCTAGCAGCACTTGCAGGAGGTCGTGATTGTGACGGTGGTGGAGGTTGTGATTGTGGAGGTGGAAGAACTGCTGTATTGCTCTGAACAGTGGTAGCATCAGATGCTTGCAGGTATGGTTGTTGATTTGTCATCGGTGGCATATTGCTTTGTTGTGTTAATGGTATATTTTGTTGGTGTGTAGGTGGAGGTGGTATCATTCGATTAAAATTCTGTTGTTGTTGCGATGTTTGCGGCAGTAGAGATGGTAAAGGTGGTCTTATTGATGTTTGTAAAGGCGGTCTCATCGGAGGTGGAGGTGGTATCATTCGATTAAATTGCTGTTGTTGCGATGTTTGTGGCAATAGAGATGGTAAAGGTGATGTTTGTAGGGGTGGTCTCATTGGAGGTGGTTGTAATTGTTGTGGTCTTGGTGGTGGTGGTCTCATTGATCCAGTTTGAGACATATTGTTTGTGGTTGGTTGTTGATACATTGAAAAAATAGAATAATAAGAACAATAATAAGATCAAAGTTAAGGGTAGGCACCATTACGTCATCTATTTGTATTCGTCGATCCGTCCAATTTTATTTTTTTCCGAAAAATTTCGTTTGCCTATATTTAATACCTTTAAAAAAACCTACTAAAATTTCCTTTGAGATTCTAACACTTGTGTTATTATTATTACTCTTTATATAGATTATGTAAAATAGTCAATATTTCATCATATAACAACAATAATAATAGAAATAATAACACATACAACATTACTTCAAAGTAAACGTTTTATATTTCCCAAAAAAAAAAAAGGAAGAATAAATTTGCAAAACTAGTTTTATAATTTCTACAGAATTATAAATATAATTTTTTTAGCTTAAATTTTTAGTAATTTAGTTCTTTTTTTAAAGAAAGAACGTATTTTTATTTTTTATTATCACATCACACGTCTTCAACTTTAAAATTAATAATATCACCACCAGTTAACAAAATATATTTACAAATGTCTCAATCAAAATACTCTTTTCCCAATCCAACTCCACCTCACGATTCCAATAAAACTTCCTATAAACCAATAACTTCTTCACTATCAACAACAACAACAACAACAATGACAACGTCGTCGTCATCATCATCGACAGACATAAGTCTATCATCATTAACACCACCTCCTATTCCTTCCCCAACAAAAGATCCTTTTTCTCGTTCTCTCGCTCCATTAGAACCACAACATCCTTCCATACCATCATATTTAAATACTCAAAGACGTGGTTCAATAACAGATCCTTCGCTACATTTATCGGTTCCAAATCCTGAATTATCAAGGCAATATTCACAACCTGATGTTCATTTTTCGTCAAATTCATCCGAACGTCGTAGTTCTTTGGCAAATGTAGATCAATATCCTCTCTCGCCATCATCCACCTTATCACGTCCATCATCTGTTAAAAGTGATCATCAGTTATTCTCTTCATTGGAATCACGTAAACTAAGAGATTCAACTTTGCCATCAATAAGTGCAAGTCCAAGTCCCGTAAGAGATGGTTTTCCTGGTTCATTAATGAATCCTGCATTTCAAGCACAACTACAGACAAGACGTCATTCTATTGCTGTAGGTGAGGTGGTTTCTCCACTCAAAAGAAAAAGTACAATCAGCGGATTACCATTACCATCACCCAATAATAATATTGGTGGTGGTATTAATAGTTTCAGTGGAAATGGTGGTGGTGGTGGTGGTAACAGTAGTAATGGTAATAATGGTGGTAGCAGTATTATTAATCACCATCATCAAATAACTGCTGATGATTATCCAGTAAAACGTAGAGAATCGATCGGTGATCCTGCTATACAAAGATTGTCTTTATATGATCGTAGAAGTTCTTATTCTGCTCCTTCTAGCCCTCCTGCACTTCCTTCTTTATCATCTAATTCAAATAATACTAACAATATAAATAACAACAATAACAATAGTAGCAGCAGCAGCAACAACAACAACAATAATAATGGCAATAGTAATATATTACCCAAACTTAATCACAACCATCACAATTCTTCCCATCGTCATCATAATAATTCTTCTCATCATTCGCATCATCCTCATCATTATGATGATTTATCATCAGATCATTCAACTAGCAATAACGGATTACCACCATCATCCTCATCTCATTTATCAGAACATAATGATTCATATCCACAACCACCACCGCCAACACCATCTTCTTCATCGTCGTCGTCAACATCACATCATTTTAATAACCCTAGATTATCGCAAATTGTTCATGATGAAAATGCTCCAATATTAGCCAGAAGAGCTTCTATGCCTATCATGCCATTTGGTTCAAGATTTTCAGACCACATTCAAGATGGTAACAGTAGTGGTGATGGTGGCACTAGCAGTAGTAGTAGCGGTGGTGGTGGTAATAATACTATTCCTATGGACATTGATCGTTTTAGAGGCAATGTTTATTCACCACAACATCATCATCATCATGCATATCATCCTTATGCATACGAGTATTCCCCTGGATATATTCAACCACAACAACTTGTTAAAGAAACGCCTTATTCACGTTCGCCCGAGCTACGGATATCTCATAAACTTGCTGAACGTAAAAGAAGGAAAGAGATGAAGGAACTTTTTGATGAACTTAGAGATTCATTACCTGTTGATAAAAGTTTAAAAACAAGTAAATGGGAAATTTTAAGCAAAGGTGAAAGAATTAAATAATAATAATAGTTATTATTATTATTATTATTATTATTATTATTATGATCTATTATTATTATATTATTATGATCAATTAAAACAAATTTATTGATTTATTTTAATTTTAATTTTAATTTGTTATTATTATTTTTAATGTCAATTTTAGCGGTGG